GGTAAAGCCAATTCTTTACTACAGGGCCCTTTGTATTTACCACATTTCTCACTACTTTCCAATTCTAGTTACCGCCTAGTCATCCTTCCAAACAAGATCTCCAATGCTGCCTTAGAGGTTGTTGGTGCTACCTTGCCAATCACAGATTTATACGCACAACCTTTGTGTAATAGAACCTTCTGTAACAACCACTATCACATGTAGTGCCAACTACTCCACAATGAACCTCTATCCAGAAATTCCTAATCCAGACCTGTATTCACTTGGACTTCCTACAGCAGATACTTCCAAATATTTATAGATAAATGTACCTACTAGGACTTGAACCCAAAACCTGCTCATGGAGGGTTGGGTGTCTAGACCACTAGGCCGTGGGATCCCAACTCTAAGTTAAGTTTTTTATATAATTTTATTATATAACTACTTATATAAATTATTCAATAAAGATACGAGCAAGGCCTCACCTTAATATTAAAAAAAAAACAATATTAATAATATAGCTAGCTTAAGTGTCTGTAATGTATTTTGCACTAATAGTTTGGATAAGTTGGGAAGATTTAGTTGTAATAAGTTGTGTTTGTTTAGATTGTTTGTTATCTAGTGTAAACCAGCATTCTAAAAATTTGAAAGGCTGGTATAATGGCTGAGACAATAGTATAAAATTATTGAAAGTTATTTGATTGTGGAAATTGGGTGTAGAATTGTATATTGGCCATAGTATAAATAGATTTAGCAATAGAAATAATATTAGCTAGCTTTGTCTGGGAGGATGCAACTCATAGAGTATTGTCTATATATGCTAGAACAGAGCATGTAGTTTGAAGACAGTATATAGAGGCTTTTAAGATTAGTAATCCATAAGGTTTGTGTTTGGTAACTAGGTATAGCAGAGTAGATATAAGTAATAAAAGAGTTGTAGTACATTCACCAGAGTAATAGTGTAATTGTTTCACTTTGGTCTATACCATCCTGTACAGAGTAAGAAGGTGTGAGTCTGAGATTTGTAATAATATTATTATGACAATTAGTAAATAGATTAGAGATGGCATTGATAATAGAAGTAGGTAATGAGAGGCAAGATAGTGCATGATTAAGAAAAGTAGAATTAACAGAATCATAAGCCTTGCTCATATTCTGAGATAAAAGCTAGATTTCCTTATGATTGCAGTTTATATTTTCAATTAAGTTGTTAAGAATGTGTATAGGAATAGATATACTATTGTCTAGAAGGACAATATAGTTATATAGAGAAAGGATAAAATGCTGTGAAAAGATTTTGTTTAGTCAGTAGTAAGAATTTTTGTATATATTTTTCAAGCATGTTTAATAAGGCTAATAGAGCGAGTTAAGTTAAGATTACCATCGAAGGCATTTTTCTTAGAAATAGGATAGATTCTACTGTGTTTTCATTGTTTTGGAATATTGTTTTCAAAAAGACATTAGTTAAGTTGAGCAATAAAAAAAGTGATACAGTTATAGCTGAAATGTTTGAATGTTTTGTAACTTATGCCTGTGAGACTACAGGCTTTGTTATTAGGAAGCTTGGAAATAGTTTGAGTAACTTCTTCAGTAATTATAGACAAAGTAAGTGAGTTGTACTATTTGGGATTAATATAAGATAGAGGTGAGTATTGTTGTTTCTAGAAGTTGTTAAAAAGTGAGAGGTTAATAGATTTATGCGTAGTTCAGTTATAGAAGTGTTGTTAGATATGATATTTAATTTTTGTAAAGTTTGTAATAAGCTGGTTTGAGAATTTAATATTGGTAAAGTGAATTAGAGGTCGATAACGATCTAGTATACTGTTTATTGCCTGTGTAGGCTTGAAAACAAGAGGTTTACATCTTTTTTCCAAAGCTTGATTGATTTGTTGTCTGAGTTGGAGTAAATATTCTAGGTGATAGATGTGATATACTTGCTTCTATGTAGTATAGGCTTGTTCAAGCCATGACTGTATATAAGTAGTGCTAAATAAAAGTGAGAATTAGAAGTTGCATTTTGTATAAGAGTTGATTAATAGAATGTGTGAGTGAATATGTTGAAGATGTATATCAGATTGGTTAGTATTTGTGTAAATAGTTTTGATAAGGTAACTAAGTTTTTGAGATCAGTATAAAGAGCATTGCAGTGAGAGCTGTATTTGTAATTATAGCTATATTTACATGTTTTTTTATTAGTACATAGACAAAGTAGTTTACTATATGCACCCAGATGGAAAAGAGAATGAGATAATCACTAAATGTGCTTGTTTTACCATTATCTAGATTGTAGGCTAGGAAGAATTGGATATTAAATGAGTCAGTTCAAATATAGTCAATTCTGCTAGAGCTTGTATTATTAGACCAAGTATGCAAAATGTTGTTTAAATGTGAACCAATATCAAACATGTTGGACTGATATAGAAAATTGATAAGTTTAAATCTGGCGAAAGAGCTAAAAATATTATCATGTGTATTAATATCACCAAGGATGATGAGGTGAATATTTGTTGCTAAACTTGCAGAATCTAGTTAATAATTGCATTTTGGGTAGTATTTTTTCAAAAAAAGTCAGTAGAAGAGAAATACACAGAGATAATTTGAAGCTTGATAGAATTTTTAAAAAAGAGGTCCAGTGCGACTGCACCACCAGGGTGTATTTGACAGTTATGTATATAAGATTTAAGAAAATTGCATATTATAATAGCAGACCCTTTAGCAGAGCTATTAGAGTTTACCCAATAGTAAGTGTAAAGATTGTTATTGCAGAAGGATAGTTTTGTTTTATGTAAAATTTTTGTTTTAGTAATGCTAGCTATTGTGATATTATAATAGATATAGTAGTCTTGCCAAGTTTGTTTTTTTTAAAGAAGTGTTAAAGCCTCAAACATTATGTGTAGCTATAGTAAGATGCAAGTCATGATAGTTAGTTGATGAAGTTGGTAAATCAGTAAGTAATGAAAAACAAGTTTGAAGATATGGTATATGAATAGGTGTAGTATAATTTGATTTAAGTAGAATATTAAAGTAGATTAGAAAATCTTTAAATAGAGAAAAGAAGTGGTTTTGTAAAGGAAGGGTTTCATGGTAGATATATATGAGCTTCATTGTTAATACAGTTAATTGCATTTTGTTTAAAAAAGATTTTAATATAATATTTAGAAAAGAATAAAGGATAGTTGGTTTGAATATATATAAAAAAGGAAGTTAATATTTGTAGGGAGAGGAGGAGTTGAAGTTTATAATATAAGAGAAATTTGTTGAAGCATGTTAAAGTGTTAAATATCTTACGTAGATTAGAAGGGAGAGAAGTAGTAGGTTTGTCTAATATTGTATGTGTAGTTAGAGAATTGGGGTTTCTGCCTTGAAAATCGAGTTACGGGACTAGTAATTTTTTTTGAGTAAACAGTAAATAAAGATTGTGTAACCCAAACAACTCAAACCTGATTTTCCACTAATTTTAGATATGATCTTCATAAAATTTTGTATCATTGGATAAAAATTAATTTGTGTAATGATGCTCATACAAAATTGATTGTATCCACTATGGTCGATTATTTCCATGCTATTTTTAAATATTAAAAAAATTTTCTACCAAATTTCCAGACTTCTATAGCTCATTTTAATATTAAGTTAATCAGTTATAAAATTTGCACAAAATGAGCTTTATGTTACATAAATTAGGATTTAGTAAAAATCTCAATTTTGGTTTGGAAACCTTGGAACCCTATTTTCAAGGCAAAGATTCCAATTGTTTTCATTGTCTAAATTTTCAGAAAATGGATTCTCAAGTGTTGTTAATATAGATTGCAAAGTGCTTAGAAATATGAAGAGCAGAGAGAATTGTGCATTAGATAATGTAAAGATATTATTATGAAATTGTATTTCAGAAAGATTTAGTAAATTGAAATTTGAGATATTTAGTAGTTCTTCTATAGAAGGACTTACTATATACTTGGTTCTCACAGTTGTGCAGGATACTATAGCCTGCTCTATATGTTGGGTCTGGTCATCATTAACCTGGTCTTCTACATATCAGGAGCGGCTGATACTTTAAGGACTACCTCAACCTGGTTACCTAAGTTTTTAACTTCTTATCCTCAGATCTTAGATCTATAGAAGAAATTGTTTATATTTGTACCAATGAATGTTTATAGTTGGTAATTTGTTATATTTTGTATTTGTGTTTACATACTTAATTATAGATCTTATATGTAAGTTATTTTTATAGAATGCATATTGTTACGGTTTAATTAGATACCCCATGATTTTGTAGTGCTAATGTTCGATCATGATCAGGTATACTGATGGCGTGATCGAAACTTGCATAATGCATAATTTTAATTAAAAGTCTAATCATAGATAGTCTAATGTGTGTAACCAGATATATTAATATTCAGGTTAAATCTTGTAATATTTAAAGCAAATATTATATAATAATAAAAACAGCTTTGGATAGCTTTAACTTAGTGAATACTGATACCTGTGTGAACATCGAGGGTGGAAGGACCTATACGATACACAGTCTTCAAGCATATTAGCCAAGTAAGTAAAGACCATTAGTAAAAGTAAAGAAGTATATAGTGTGTTGAGAACCGCCATGACATAAGGACCTGGGCAGATGAAGGTTCTACTCGCAAAAATACGTTTAATTGGTGATACGTAAAAAGACAAAAGGCCATGTTCGTTGAGATTTGTCTCTGCTAGCATTTGTTTGTGATTAAAAGCGAAAGAAAAAGGATATTATTAAAGTAAGGTTGAAAAAAAAAAAAAAAAAAAAAAAAAAAATTTTGAAATTGAGTATTACCGGAGTAGTGAAATTAAATAGAATGGATGGTGAAAATCGTTTGTTATCTTTGGTTAAAAGTTTGATTGGATTAGTATTTGACGTGGTAAAGCATTTGAAAACACAATGAGTTAACCGAAAATGTTACAGACCTCAGTTGTGTTACGTTTGTCGACGCCAAGGATATTTGGTCTGTTCTTGCCCAGATCAAGTGATATGTGAATGTCAAAAAAAAGTTATGGATGTACGGTTTATGAAAATTAGTAGTCACAAAGTTGGTGACAACGAAAATCGAAGTCAAATTGGAAAGGGTAAAAGGATTAATGAGACATTCAAAGGTGATGCAAATATAAAAAGGAAAAAGGATACAAAGCCAAATGATGAAATCCGAGATGTGAGGATCTTTAGGTGCATAAACATTAAGAGTAAAGGTTTTGTTGGAGGTTGTTACCGGAATGAAAATGATGATGAATCTAGCATGATGAAGGCCCATACTGTCAATGTTGAAAAGGATAAACATAAAGTGATCATTTATTATCAAAAATCTAAAGATATGAGTAAAGTTGGCAGAACTAATGATGAAAATCATTATATCGTTATAGAATTGGAGCCAAAACGAATGAACATAAGGCCTTCATTAATTATCAAGAGATAGGATCTGTCGAAATTGGTGAAATAGAAAGACACAAGGCATTTAATTATTACCAAAGATCTGATGATGATGTAACGTATAATGCTACTGGTGATGAAAAGAATAAACACAAGAAATTTGTTTGTTGTTGAGAAGATGGAAACTTTGGGGAAACTAGCTCAGATGATAAAGCTGAAGTTTGTTCCAATGACAGAAGTGAAGTCAAAATGAATAAACAAAGGGTTAGAAATGAAGAAGAAATAAGTAAGAAAAGAGTGAAGGTTAGTGGAACGAATATGGATGCGAAGAATATGAAGGAGGGTGTAGTTGTGATAAACAGTAATAAAAAGGAGATCGATGTAAATAATGGAAATAGTGTAATTATTTGTTCGACAAGTGGTGATGAAATGTGTCAAAAGAGTGATGAGAAAATTGAAGACCCATCTGAAATGAACATAAGCCTGAAGGTCCAATCCGATAATAAAGTATATAGTGATGAAAAGGTGATCGTGTATTGTCCATTGTCTGTTGAAGTGAGTACAGGTGATATTGAAATGGCTGAAGTAAAAGTTAGCAGATCCTGATAATGAACCAGTTGCTAATAAAGGGGGTAATTTTGATTGCTGCAAGTGAAATGAAAATGGATGATGAAAAGAATGAATATGAGGTTGTTATGAGGCGTGAATGATAAAAACACAATATAAAACATTCAAAAAAAAAAAAACAAAAACAAAAAAAAAATTGATACTTGTCTATAGGATATGAAGGATCGTAGTGTTGATACACGTGTTATGTGTGACTCTTATGTTGATCGATTGGAATCAATCGAATTATGTGATAATCAGTAATAAGAGTACTGAAGTAAGGTGTAATTATGTGACAGTCGGTAATATGGGTACCGAAGTAAGGTGCAATTATGTGACAGTTGGCAGTAGAAAAGAACACATCGAAGTAAGAAGTGAATAAAAAAAAAAAAAAAAACTTTAGTGTATAATAATTGAACTTGAACAATGAGTAGTATTTAGTTGTACATTTAAATTAGTGATTGGTTGTGTATATGTTGCAAATGGATGTTGAAATATAGATATATTTGGTTGGATAATTGGGATTTTTCAAGGATGGAAACTTCAGGGACGAAGTTCTGGGGCTTTTAGCTTGTGTCACAGTTTAATTAGATACCCCATAATTTTGTAGTGCTGATGTTCAATCAGGATCAGATATACTGATAGCGTGATCGGAACTTGTATAATGCATAATTTTAATTAAAAGTCTAATCATAGATAGTCTAATGTGTGTAACCGAATATATTAATATCCAGGTTAAATCTTGTAATATTTAAAGCAAACATTATATAATAATAAAAACAGCTTTGGATAGCTTTAGCTTAGTGAATACTGATACCTGTGTGAACATTGAGGGTGGAAGGACCTGTACGATACATGGTCTTCAATCATATTAGCCAAATGAGTAAAGACTATAAGTAAAAGTAAAAAAGTACATGGTGTGTTGAGAACTGCCGTGACAATATATAATTGAATAGCCGAGTATTTAGTTCTACTCTAGATACAAGTAATTTTGCCCTTATATGGGTTTATCTTGAGTTTACACTGCCTGCCTATCCTACTGTGCAACTATGAGAATACAGTATACTGGTTTGCATTTTTTCAAAGCTAGGGCCCTCACAGTTATCTGACTAACAATAAATACCATATTTGGACTTCCCAAGCAGACTTCTGTCATCAGATCATCTCCATATACACAATCTGTTGAACTTATCATTAGTTTGTACCATATTTAACCAGCTAGCATCTCTTTGTATAACTGTTATCATTGTACAAATGTCTCAAATCTTCCAAAACCCAATTATGCCAATCTCTAATACACCAACAGGTATAGATATTTTTTCCTGATACAGATGATAGTAATCATAACACAGGATTAAATTCAAAAATCATCATTTGTAGGATTCGAACTCTTAACCTACTACTTGGTGGAGTGATGACTAAACTACTTCACTAAGCCACCACACTCTATTGTTAAGAATTTTTATATGATTATATTAGTATAAAGAATATATTTAAGTAATTTACTAATCAATAGTTTTTTTAATCTAAAACATCAATTTAGAAATATCCTTTTATTATGAGACAAGCTTTTAATAATTCAATTAAACTTTTTGAAAAAAACTTTATCGTCCAGAGCAGAGTAAAGAACTTACTGTCCAGACCTCTATTACAGATACTGCTAAAAAAAATATATAGATATTTAATTTATCTGGAATATTTGTATTATTTATAAAGCATAAGGATTAAATCCATATTTGCTATACAAATTTATTTATACAACTAGAAAGTTTATTTTTTGTGTATAACAATAAATTAATAAATAAATAATAAATATATTTTAACTCACTTTAATATTGAAATAGCGAGTAGCTTTTGTAATAAAATTATTTACAGTAGAGTTATAAATAATTTCAATACTTTACAGAAACTAGCTATTTTTTTTCAATAAAGTTAAGATCATCTTAATAATATTATTAAATTTTTTAATAATTATAAAATTATTTTACAATAAATTTTTAGTGCAAAAATTTTAAAATTGTTCTAA